TGATGGCTGACTTCTGAGAGCTTGCACAGGCAAGGCTGTCTCTTCTCCAGGGCAAACGGTGCCCAGCAGAGCCGTGTGATGAGGAAGGTGGCATGCATTAACAGCTGCCACCAAACTGGAAAAGGGCTGATTGATCTGACAAAGTCTTTTCACAGCGAACATAAATCAAGGAAGATGACTGACAGGGAAGTAAACATTTGAGAACTAGAGTAATTAGGAATATATTAGCAATTAAAATAAACTTATTATCATTAGCAAAATTGGCAGTTACTTGAAATTTCCCCAGGGGCTTCATTTCAAGTTTATCCTGGTAGATTATATTAGGAGGGATTAATGTTTTTGGAAAGACAGGCTTAATTTTTGTCAATTGCATTTACTCCTATCCCTATTTGCACTTAGCTGAGCCAATCTTGAGGACACCAGATTTCTATGATCTAGCCCCAGGTGTTCTAACACCAAACCTGGATAAAGCTCTATTCACTTCTTTCTCAGAGAAAATTAAATTAGCGGGCATCTTTTTTATTTTTTAGTTCTTTCTTCTTATGATTTTTTATAGGCTTTCAGCACCTGTTACCACTTGTTTCCCAGGAAGTGCCAGAAATAATAAAACTTCTGAACCTGGAACCTGGATGCAAATACAGTAACCAAGAGGAAAGCTGAGATTCCACCTTGCTCACATCAGTCATTTCTTTGTTCTGTGGGAACCAGTGTAGAGACTTAAGCCTTTGCTGACAGGTGCAGGACTGAGCATGCTATCTTCTGAAACCTCTGGCCCTATTTCTGCTTTCCCCATTTGGCAAGGTATCTTTCAACATCATGTGGTATTCTGAGGGCTCTTTGTTGCTAACAATGCAAATGACTCTGACAACCAAATCAAAAGGACTGGAAGACTACTGGAATATTTGTATGAATTATGGGAATCTGAATAGGTGTGGAGAAAAATTTTGACCTAAGAAAAGGTGTGAAGTTTTTCCTCAGACAGTGTCTTTGCTTCCCAGGAGACTGTGGGTCACAATGACTAATCTGACACCCTGAGTTGGACACAGGGCTTATTATTCGCACCAGAAACACCAACAGAGTAACTAGGGGTGGGTGCTGGGCACTGGTTTGCATAGTTTCAGCCTATCTGGAGACTACAACAAACTACATAGGTAGCCAACCAGTCAGTGGTCCATGATTAAGCCCCAATGCAAAAAGCTCAGTCAGCTCTCAGTTTACACACTGCGACATGTTGATGCTGTGAGAATAATTTTTTTGGGTCGTACCCTGTGGAGAAGCTTATTTTCTTAAAAAATTTAACCCATGCTGTCAAGAGCTCTCCTATGGTTTTCTGTGTATTGCATCAGTTACTCCTCATGGACATCAGTAGATGCAAGGAAGATTGGGAGAGAGGAAGACAAAGGGAAGGGAGAGGAAAATAGGAAGGAAGAGAAAACCTAAGAAAGAAGAAATTGACATTGTGGCAATATGGGTAAATCTGGAGCTTGGTTGAGTTATTGAGTCCTGGTGAAGAAACAGGGTTGCCCACATGGTTAGTTGTAATCTCCACTTTGGCTGAATCTATGCACCAGTGCCCCTTGGTATTTCTGATGTGCACGATCCCTACTTCAAACAATGTAAGTATAGCCAACCCTGTCCCCAAGTAACAGTGTTGCACTAATCAGGGTCTCCAGGGAAGCAACACATTTTCTGAAAGAAAATTAATGCAGATTATGATGGAATTGTAACTACAGTAGGGCTTAGACATCACAAAAATGCTCAATTTTACATACCAATGAAAATAAAAGCCATATCACATTTTAGGTCAATGTCCCTGAAATTTATCCAGCAGAGAAGTAGTACTGTTTTGTTGTAATTGGAATTTTTAAAACTTTTTTTCAAGATTTATTTTTCTACTTCAGATGCACAAAATAACATAGTAGTTTGCTTAGGAAGCACTGCTCATCTTGTTATATTTCCAAAGAAACCAAGCCTATTGGAATAGTGATTTCATTCACTTTGAGGGAAATTGACTTTGCTCAGAGTCATCACACTTTGTTTTATTTTCCATTTTCCCCTACTGGCAGTAGACTGCTAAAATCATAGCAGTTATGCACATGTAAGAAACCCACCAACTATGATGTTAAGGAAGAATGGCATAAGAAGCTTAGCCTGACTCATGACAAATAGCAAAGATGATATTCCTATTTTCTCTGCTTTTTCAAACAAAGCTTTTCTCAATGCTGCCTGAGAGACAGGACTGTCTATCAAAACCCTACACCAGAATTACCTCTCATCTTAAAGAAGGAAGGTCAGGAGCTATCCACTGGCCAGCAAGAAGGGACCCTCCAACTTGGATACCTCTGCAGAGATCTTGCTCAGGCTACAAGATGTAGTCCTTATCCAGAATGATGACTCTTGAAGAGATTGGATCACAGATTCATTCATTCAGTAATTCAAATATTTATTGGATGACTATGAAGAATGAAAAGTCAGGACTTAGAGATGCAAACCAATGAACAAACTAAAAACAAGCGAAGAACTCCCTTCATGCCCTCAAGTAACTCTCAGTCTAGAAAGGGATGGAAGATAGACTTCACTGGACAATGAATTCCATTTGGGCACAAGGTCTTGACTCACTCTGATGTATCAGTACAATCTCACTAGGCTTCTATTGCCTTATGTGTACATTATTCTTACAGCATCAACATGTTGCAACAGGTACTGAGTATTAAACATGCCTTTCTTCTGTGGGCTGGTGTGACCATTGTGTTAGTAATTCCAAAGCTGTAGCCTGCAAACATTTTAGAGATTTTCACCAGGTAGGATGACAGCTCTATTCTTTGTTTGCTTATGAACAAATGAATGAAATAATTTAGGCTATACACACTAAGACTCACAGGGAAAAAAGGCCCTGTTACAGTCTCTTTATGCTAATGTAGCACAACAACCAAGCCTAGAGTGTTGGTAAAGAACAGACACTTGTTTTTCATGATCTGGAAGCTGGAAAGGCTAAGATCAAGGCACCAGCAGGTTCTGTATCTGTTGAGTTTCCCTTTCTGCCTTTTCATCTTGATACCCTCATGATTCAGTTTCCTTACATAGATGGCTCATGGTACTCAACTACCTCCTAAGGGTCATACCTCTTCATGCTGATGCATTGGAGATTAAGTTCAAGATGAATTTTAGAAAGAATTAGGGTTTCAGGATCAAAATGAGAGTTCACGAGTGAGTGAGACTGGAATAATGAAATCTCAGAGCAAATACACCAGACACTTGTGAAGGAACTGTTCTTTAAACATTCTAGAATCTTGGGCTGAACCAGAGACGTGAAGATTTTATAGTGAGCCTGTTTTCATCCTTCCTTTAAAGTATTAACTCTTCTACCTGACATACTGTCTATTCCCAGCTTCTGGCCAGGAACTATATCCTTATAGCCTTACTCCTTACTGTTAAAACACACAAGTTCAAGTTGTTAAACCCTCTTGCTGCTCTTAGCACTTCAACTCTACAAGCATATTGGATCTCTCAAGGGCACAACAGCCGATGAATGTATGTATTGTTATTTTCTGCTAAGAAGAGGTCATCACCTGCTCCACAGTAACCAAAAAATGTGGATTTGAATCACATATACAATATAGTATAATTTAATAGTAGTTGCTCTTTAAAAACAGGGAAATAAAAACCAAGTTTTTTTTCTCTAGTAGAATTGGTGGTTGAAATGTAGATTTACATTGTAGGTATTATTTTACATTCCTTAGAATTTCAAAGTATTTCTCCCCATATGGGGTGGCAGTGCCTGGAATTTCAGCAATGGGATTCAGATCTTTTAACCTGGTCCTTAAGGTTCCATTTTTCATGTACTCTGTTAAGCTTATAGTTCAAAAATCCTCCCTGCAGTTCTCTCCTTGCACAACTGGCCAGCCTTCGATGCCCCTCCTTAACTGCACCCATGTGACATTCCTGCCATGGGCCCTCACTTTCATGCTCTCCTCTCCACCGGGCAACAGTAAGCGCTTAACAAGTGTCTGCTGACATAATACATTTTCCAGTACTCAGCAGTGCTCTAGGAATCTTCTTTTAAAATGAGAACATAATACACATATCAAGACAAGACATATTTACCCCATTACTGTGGAATGGAAGGGGTTAATCTTTTATGTACTGCATTTTTCTCAGGAAATGGGATACAGAGTGATCATTATTTTTACATTATTGCCAATATTAATAAGAACCACACAAACTCCAAGGAAGCATCATATAGTAAGGATATATTTTGAACCTTGGAGGACGAAGGCACTAGTTGATCCCTAAGGAAGCGATGGGCTTGTGGGCAAACAGTTCCTACACTTTACAGTCAGGAGGGTGGTGGGTAGGGAAAGTGGGAGGGATAATGGATGATGATGTGGGAAATTTTGTAGGCAGGAAGTTAATGGGTATTGGGTGGTAATTTTAAGGAGATTAACTATAACAGTGACAAGCTTTATGTCAAGTCTGTGGGCTTTTTTAAAAAGTGTCTTTCATCACTCATCTCATTAAAGCTTTACAAGGGTCTCTTTGAGGTTAGTACTGTGCTCATCTTACAGATTTGGGAACTGAAGCTAAGAAAGCTCCAGTTAGCACCACCAGAGAATAAAGTGGGGGTGGAATTCAATCACCAGGCTCTGGACACCTTGGAAAAAATTGAAGGGGAGGAGAGGGGGAGAGAGGGGAGTGAGGGGAGGAAGAGGAACAGGAGAGAGGAGGGAAAGGATGGAGAGGAGGAAGAGGGGAAAGAAGAGGAGGAGGAAGAGGATGGACATGGGGGGAATGGGGAAGGAAGGAAGGAAGCCAGGCCTAGAGGGCAGGTTCGGGGACTCTGGGGCACCGCGCGGGCCGGGCGCCCCGGTCTCCGCCCCCCACCGGCCTCCCGCCCCGCGTGCTCACCGTATTCGCCTCCGGCGCTGCGCCGCCCCTCGCGGCCGCCGTAGCGTCCCGGTTGCCATGGTTCCCGGCTTAGGACGCGGAGGCGCTGAGCAAGGAAGCGAGTCCCGAGTCCCCTGGGGCTTCAGGGGATCCGCGAACCCCCGAGGGAGGCGCCATGGGCCGGAGTAAGCGACCCCCCCCAGCTTGCTCCTTGGATTTCCTTGTCCCCTTGCCGTCTCGTTTTGGGTTCCCTGGGACCCTGGCTTTCAGCCCGAGACCACGACTGTCGGCCCGGGGTCCCCGTGGCCTCCGCCCGGGCGGGGGCGGGGTGTGTGTGCGCTCGTGCGTGTGTGCGTGAGCGTGTGTGTGCGCTCGTGCGTCTGTGCGTGTGCGTGCGCGCGTGTGTGTGCGCGCGTGTGCGTGTGGTGGAGAGCAGGGCCCAGGACTACTAGACCCAGGGGCGGGGTGTGTGTGTGTGTGCCTGTGCATGTGTGTGCGTGTGCGCGCGCGCGTGCGTGTGTGTGTGCGCGTGCGTGTGTATGTGCGCGCGTGTGCGTGTGGTGGAGAGCAGGGCCCAGGACCACTAGACCCAGGGGCGGTGAGTGTGTGTGTGTGCCTGTGCATGTGTGTGCGTGTGTGTGTGCGTGCGTGTGTGCGCGTGTGAGTGCGTGTGTGTGCGCGCGTGTGAGTGCGTGTGTGTGTGCGCGTGTGTGTGATGGAGAGCAGGGCCCAGGACCACTAGACCGGGGCGGTGCGTGTGCGTGCGTGCGTGTGTATGTGTGCGTGTGTGCTGTGCGTGCGTGTGCGTGCGCGTGTGCGTGTGTATGTGTGCGTGTGTGCTGTGCGTGCGTGTGGGCGTGTGTGTATGTGCGTGTGGGCGTGTGTGTATGTGCGTGTGGGCGTGTGTGTGCCTGTGCGTGCGTGCGTGTGTGCGTGTGTGTGTGGTGGAGAGCAGGGCCCAGGACCGCCAGACCCCGGATGTGGTTGCAGGAGGTGTGTCGGGAATGGTCTAGGGTGCGTAGGGAAGCAAGCAAGCAGAAAGTGGGGGGCTGATATCTTAGCAAAGGCCGCAGCGATCCCACCCCAGACTGCTACACTTGCTGTGGACCTTTCGGCTTGTCCATGGCGGGGTGAAGGTCTGGCTTCGCCGTTCCATGCCAGTTCCAGTCCGCGTCCCTGACCCGGGCTGTCCCCCAAGGAAGGACGCTGCCTGGGCGGAGGAGACGCCAAGGCCCATGGTGGAAGAGCTCATAGCTGCTAGCAAAGTCTGTCCACCTTCAGTTCTTTTGTTTTGTGGGTCTTGGGGCTTGAACTCAGCGTCTGGGCCCCGCCCCTGAGCTCTTGCGCTCAATGCTGGAGCTCTGCCACAGGGAACCACAGCTCCACTTCCGATTTTCTGGTGGTTAATTGCACATAAGAGTCTTTTTTATATTAAAAATGTATTTTTATTGTAAAGATACTGTACAGAGGGGTTATAGTTACATGCTCAAAGTAATGAGTCCATTTCCTATCGAGCATTGTTACCTCCTCCTTCGTTTTTCCCCTACCATCCCTTCCCTCCCCACCCCCTCCCCCCTCCCCCCCCAAAGTTGTAAAGTTCATTTTCAACATAGTGTCTTGTACATCTCATTGTTACAATGGGTCATCCTGTATCCTTATTTCAGCATTTTGTCCCTTCCCCTCCCCAAATTAGAAAAAATGTATATACAAGATGCAGGACACCAGAATCAAACACAGTGACAACAGGGGTTATACCATGGGGGAAGAACATACAAAGAAACAAAAAAATCACATAGTACATTATAAGCCCAAAATGTACTCATTATCTTGACCATGTAATTGTAACCCCTCTGTATGGTATTTTCACAATACAAAAATTTTAAATAAAAAAGAACAACAAGAAAGATTCCTGCCCTGAGCTGGCTTTGAACCGTGATCCTCAGCCTCCTGAGTGGCTAATATTACGGAGGTGAGCCCCAGCACCAGGCTATGGCAGCCCATCGGATCCTCCAGGTAGCCTGGGATGGCGTTCCTCAGTTGTTGAGTGAACCTCTACTTCTTTTTCAAGATACAGTTCAGGTCTCTGACCTCCCTCTTCCAACTCCATTGCACTGGCCACTCCCTCTACCAAGGGGCATTTCACTTTGCTAGTGTTACATCAGTTACCAGCTCAGAGCATTTGGCAATTTTACAGTAGCATCCTCCAATCAACCATCAACTGTTTTTAAAAGTTATCACTGGATTAAGGAGCAAGGTAGCTTCAGATGCTCATCAAGATCACCCCAAATCATTAAGTAAAGGCAGTGAAAATGTATTTTTCACTCCCTTTTTTAAATATAAAGTTTCTATTGAAAATAATGGGAAAAAGTTACATGCTACAAGAAGTAAACTTCATCTATTTGTAATTCCTTGTTTGCATTAAATCTTCATTATCTGTGTGTACATACTAATCAAAGTGCATACGTATCTGCTAGGTCCTTCAGTATGTTTGAAGATGTTGATAAATCTGATATAGACACGTGTTGGTTGGTTTTATTCTAATCCACTCAGAAAGATGGGACAGCTTACAAAACATGAAAAAAATCTAAAGAGTGAACACTGAATTGCTGACTTTGGAATTTTCCAAAATTTAGCTGACTGAACTTTGTGGAAGTAAATGTAGCAGGACAACATTTAATATACCAGTAACAGTCAGTTCAGGCTCTTTGCCCTCACTGTTATTTTATTGATAAGTGTTGAAGAGTTGAAAAAGAAACATGGGATGATCAATCAGCTCAACCATGGATATAAGTATATATTGGTGATTGTGTTTGTCAATATTCCTCATTCCTCCAGTCACGCAGCTATTTGCTTTGACTTTCGCTAGATAAGACACTTCTCAGAATCCACTGGTATTTCTATTATTTGAAATTTTCTAAAATAAGAAAATGAAACTATTCTCTATAGCATCTAACAGGCATTGCATACCGTCTTGAAATAGTCTTACAATGTCACCTTAATGCTTGTGAAGAAGTTCATAAACCTAAAATACCTTACATGAGGGCAGTGCTGCAGTATTTGGAGTAGGATTTCTAAAGGTAGACAGTGATCCTGGTGTTAGAGAAGGTTTGCTTTCAATGAAACTGTATGCAAAACTGCAAAATGCTCTCTGATCTAAAAGTGTGATCACTATGATCTCCATGCCCTGGGTAGCTCTCTTATTCATTTCTTCTTTTTCATCTTCTTCTTGGGGACTCTGGGTTGTACATTGATGGCTGTTGTTACAGGTGAAGTAGTATTATGTACCAGTAATTTTGTGGGTGTTATAAAACAGCATGCCACCCAGTAGTTTCTTGTAAGTGTAGAGATCAGGAAAGAACCATGAGTACTTTCATACCATCTCAATTCTACCTTCCTCTGTGATTCTCCATGTTTTAAAATGTCTCTTGTGTATAATTATTGATATTGAGCTACCTTTGTGTGATGATTGACTGTCAAGCCCCTAGTCTCGTGTGTGTGTGTGTGTGTGTGTGTGTGTGTGTGTGTGTGTTCCATATTCAGGAAGCTTTCTTCATTGCATCACTTTAAGCTAATAGTTTTTAACCATTTTAATTCTCCTGGTTAGTCGATTTGGATTAATATAATTTTTCCTAATATCTATATGACTCAGAAAGGAAAGACAATAATTACATGAAAGTGATCAGTTTAACACACACAATAGCACGGTGATGAGTTTCTTGAATTTTGAGACATGTAGCCAGGAATATAGAAGGATATTTGATAGGAGTAGGAATTTTGCCACTCCTATAAGCCTTTAGGTTTGGATAGGGTAGAAAAGTTTTCTTTGATGGTAGACTAAAAGGAGCTTCTGATAGTTTAATGCATAGAGCTAGTTGGCATGTGCAGGTGCCCATATGTCCATACAAGGCCAGAGGCTAGATGCTGCTTAAGATGCTACCAGAATTCCCCTGAACACATTCAGCTCAACCCTGGATGGCAGCTCCTGTAGGGGTTCAAGTTTGGGAGGTCCATATTAATATGGATGCCAAACTAAGCCTCGAACAGAGTCGAAGGCAAGAATGTAACAAATTAAATCAAACTGCTAAATAGAGTGCATCTTTGTCCACTGAGGTATATTTCTTCTTCAAAATCCAAAAATCTGCATTGAAAATATGTTTCTCTGACTCTTTGGAGTTCTATATCAGAGCATGTGGCTTGGGAAGAGCTGGTCCTCTGGCCCACTCATCCCTTCCCTTCCCTGTGTCCCAACCCTCATGTCATATACACATCCGGGCAATCCATGGCCCTGGAAACAGCTGCACCATGGGCTTGGCTGCATAGTCTGGCTTCCCTCTGACTCCAGGGGTTCCAAGGTCTATGACAGCAAGTCTAACAAGCCACTTCCCTGTGATAAATTCGTATATGCACATGCATATGCCATTAAGATTTGAGGGTCTAATCTGTAGTAGTGATGACCAAGTCCCATTAAGAGAGCTCCGATAATTTTAGTTGTACCATCTCAACCCCTTAATTCATGTGCATGCTAACAGAAAAAAGAAATAAATGGCAGATAAAGACAATCTATTTTGGTTTACATAGCACACTTACTATATCAAGCTGATTGCAATCACTCATTGTCAACAAAGATTAAATTATTAGAATTACCATTGGAGGCTTGGAGGGTAGCTCAGTCGTAGAGCCCTTGCCTAGCGATAGAGGCTCTGGGTTTGACCGTCAGTACCACAAAAAAGGATAAACGAAAACAAACCCTTAGATGGTTTATAGGAAGGCCTTTTTGTTTTTCATCCTTGAGTAGAGCAGAGATGCCACCAGCTGGTAGTGGCATTTGAGGGTGGAGGGCAGCATGCAGTAGGATTTCTTGCAAGCCAGGGCTGGAGAGGCTCACCTTTCAGTCTCCTTGGCAACCCCTTTCCAGAATCATCTCTGCCTGTCAGCTGAGCCTAAGGTCGGAGCAATGGAACATTCTTCATGCATGGTATTTTACTCTCTTGTCTGTCTTTTCAAGAACTTATTGCTAGCTCCCCCAGCTCCTACCACATGAGACAAACCTTTGACAAGACAAACCCATCTCTTAGGGGTGTAGCAGTAGATGCGCCCAGCAGGATTGCTAAGGAAGAACTCAGCTAGATAAGGCTGCATATTCAGGAAGTCTGAGGAATCTGGAGCGACTTCCCCCCCCCAAATATAGACAAATAGTTTGAGATGGGGGAAAAGGCTGAAATGGTTGAACACATGCCTGCCATACACAAAGCTGTCGGCTCACAGTAAACACACACACACACACACACACACACACACACACCACCACCACCACCACCACCACCACCACCACCACCATCACCACCACTTTCTCTGTCTCAGGTCAGTTAGTGGATGGCATCCAGTTTGACATGGCACCACCATATGAGTTCATATAAATATTCTCATCAGTTCTCTGTCCATCCATTATCCATATAGCACACATATGAAAACAAGTATGATTTCAGGAATTCTCACATCTCTTTCTTCTCTCTGACTTACGTTTTGGCATCACCAAAACATAAGAAGGCAGGATTTCCCTGATGTCTTCCCATTTGAAAAATCACTTGGGCCTGAAGAATTTACATTTCACTATACAGAAAACTCCATGCATTAATAACATAATAGGACTTCAGTGAACAATGGAGTGGAAATGTAATATGCAGCAAATTGTCTTTCAGTCACAGAAGATCTTATTAGACGGAATGCTGAGCACAATGAGTGTGTAATTTTTTCCCTGGAGGAACTCTCCTTGCATCAACAAGAAATAGAAAAACTAGAACATATTGACAAATGGTGCCGGGATTTAAAAATTCTCTATCTTCAGAATAACCTCATTGGAAAAATTGGTAAGTTTCAGTACTTTGTGATCATGATTTTCCTTTAACGTTTAGCATGGGGGAAACACTGGATAATGCTATATTATTCTTAAGGGATGACAATAACCAAAAAAGTGATGTAGGAAAACACAGTAGGTGTGTGAGAGATGTTTCCTTGTATAATTCTTGATGCATATAAGAATCTCCATAGGGATTTGGGAGATGTGTTCAAAGTGAGGAACACTTTAATCTATCCTATGTTTTAGAAGCTTGAAAGGCAGGAAGGTATAATTTGTGTATTTGTCATGGTTTACTGTGCAAAGCTGACGGCTTATGTAAGATTCCATGTCCTTGTCACATTCCCACACACTGTGACTGCCATATAATTCTGCTGTATTGTGCAAGCACAAGGCGTTGGGCTCTACATTGGGTTCTGAGGGGGTTCCAGTCTGGATGGAAATTGATAAGTACAGGGATCTGGTGGTTGAAGACTAAAATATTAATACTGTTTAGGGAGAGCAAACAAAGAGGCCACATTTTGAGAGGTCGATTTGGGAGTCTTTATTAAAAGGCCAGCCACTGCATGGTGGACGCCTGTCTCAAAGACCAGCAGCCAGCAAATTACACTTCACACGGTTAGGAAACTGAGCCACAAAGGCCAGAGAGGAAAGAAAGAACAAACACAATACCAACACAGCAATTCAGCTCCCGTGGAGAGCTGAAGTGGGAGGCCGTGGTGACCGGAGAAGAGCCAGGAGACAGGAGACAAGAACACGGAGACACATGGCATGGCATAATGGTGCCCATGTTGGTTCCCACCTCAATGGGGTCAGGAGGCAGGGTCACAGGAAACTTGAGTCTCAGGCACTAGACTATCATCTAAGTCCCCGCCCCTGCCTCCAGGGATTCAGGCACACCCATCACGTGGAAGGTAGGGGCTTTACCTTCTCCCAGCATGAAGACAAGATGCCAGACCCTACCATCCACCATGTGGCCAAGATGGCCCCAACCAGACCCAATCACCTGTACTTCAGTACTATAACTGATAAATCTCCTTGAAGAATGTGGCTTGGACTCACAGCTAGGTGGGCTTGCTAAGTCTATCCCAATCCCCTAAGCACACAAATAAACTTGTCTACTAGTCAGATGAAGAACTGAGCGAACACGGCATCAGGTAGACCTGGCTATAAATTCTGCCTTTGATGCTTAGTATATGAAAATAGTTAAGTCAGTTAGCATGTCTGAATCTTAACTTTGTCCGCTGCAAAGAAGACTGGATTGGTATAAGGGCTGCAGGCAATAATGTGCTTACCACTGTGCTCACCAGGGGAGACACGCTCATTCAGTGAGAGCTTCTGTGCTGTTGTCAGTAGTGTGATAATGTACCCCACAATGCAAAAATAGGTGCGAATGGAATTGGAAGGAAAAGGATGAAGTTAGTTGACACAGGGAAAGTGCCTGACCCCATGTGCTCCCTGGGAGTCCAGAGATGAGCTTTAAAGTCAGAGTTAACTTTCCATAGTGGTGTGTTGAATCTCAAAAGGAGGCATTTTATCCCATCTGGAAAGACAGTTTGGATTATCACAAATGTGTGTGTGTGTGTGTGTGTGTGTGCATGTGTCCTGGGGGTGCAGATTGTGCTAACCATCATACCATGAGAAGGACAGCTCTACAAGACCTACTCAGGACTGCTGAGTTTGAGAAACCCTGGTAGTGTAGTTGCCTCTAGTTCCATGGTACATGAAAATTGGCTTTTAGGATGTAAAAAGCCTAAATTTGCATCATTTTTGGAAGATTTACAAAAGCTCTATATTTCTTCAGATAATTATTTTCGGCATCTTTAGCTCTAGCAGAAATTAGAAACTCTGGAACATTGTTCAAGTTTTTTTTTTTTTTTTTAAAAAAAGGTTGTTACAAAAACCCACCAGCTTTTATGCATGGGGCATTGAAGAACGGTCCTAATTGTACAGATCTAAGAGTTCCCGAGATTTTAATCTCCACAGCTGGGTCCATCACAATCACTAATTAGTGGCATAGTATTTCAGGCCTTTTCAGAGCTGTGAGAAAGCTGAAATTTTTGCTTCCAGCATATTCCTAAATTAAGCACTCTTTTAAATCCTAATAATGGGATTTTTTTTTCAGTCCCTCTCCACCCGTGGGCATTTAGGCACTTATTTAGCAAGTGAAATGACTTCTCTGGGATTCACACTTGCTCTTGTGCCACTGAGGTAGAAGTCTGCAAAAACAACAGCGTTTCCTAAAGCAAGGGCCTCCCTGGGAGCGCAGACCAGCTGCTGAGCAATGCCTTGCTCTGGGTTGAGGCAAGGACCATCTGGGTCCCCAGGGACGTGGGGAGGAGTTGGACGTGGGTTCCACTAGTCAGGTTGTTGCCAGTTCCCCTGGGGCCTCATGAGCGGAGGGTTATACAATTTGGCCCTGGACAAGTCTATGGGTGGTAATTGGTGATGCTTCCATTAATGAGTAATGCTCAGCCCCCTTGCGGCTCCCTGAGTGGGCCTTGCCATTTGTACTCATTGAATCTATTTTTTTTTCCTCCTGACCACTTTGTCTTCTTGGTCTGAAGGAGTCAAGGAAATTCTTCCTGACAAGATTTTTTATTTCTTCCTGAACACATGCTTTGTTCTTCTTGAACAGAATCTGACTTTGAATTCTGCCTGATGACTTCAGCATGAGAGGACTTTTCAAATAACCACAGTGGGGAAAGGGAATTCTATGGTAACCAGGTATTATTTTACTATGAGCTGGGAATTTTAAGTGACAGTTTTGCTCAGAATTCAGACTAGACACTGTGTTTGTCATAATTCTTGGCTCCCAGAAACCTCCAAATCTGCTGACTATTGCATCCCAGATGGTGCTAGAGAATCCCTTGGTAAACACTAGTATTACTTGAATAATTTAATTGCTGAGAGAAGCTTTAATTTAACCACGAACCCTCATTTTTAAAAACTGAGTAGACTGGGGCCCCAAAAGCTAAACTGCCCTCAGATCAATGGGAGCATATATATATATATATATATAGGACGGTTTATAAGTTTAAGATAAATTATTAATGATGATAAATGTGATGATCATACACCATCAGATGTGATAGTCATAAGCTCCCTGAAAAATAGGTGGGGGAGGCTTTACTTCAGTGAGGCCACCCCAAATGTGCTTCTCTTTCTAGACCATCATCTTTCAGGTATCTAGAAAGAACTGTTCTTTTAAGGTACTGTGTGGAGATTTAGTGCATGGCTCTTGAGTCAAATTTTCTGTCTACCATTTAACTATGGCCAAGTGGACTGATTCTCAATGTCTTGGTATTTGTATAAAAGGAGACACCAACGATTGTTTTCTCACAAAGTTATTTATAGGCTAAGATAGCCAACATTATTAGGGCACTGTGTGGCATATAATGAGTACTTGGCAGCCTTAGCTAAATGGGCCATTTTTAAAGGCTCTTCCACAGAGAGTCCCTGATTTTTGTTTACAATTGTTTCACCTCTGTGAGTGTTAAGAATTTTTTTTTTTTGGTAGGTCATGGGGCCTGAACTCTGGGCCTAGGTGTTGTCCTTTAGCTCTTCAGCTCAAGGCTGGCACTATACTACTTGAGACACAGCACCACTTCCAGCTTTTTCTGCTTATGTGGTGCTGAGAAATCGAACCCAGGCCCTCATGCATGCAAGACAAGCACTCTACCACTGAGCCACCTTCCCAGCCGGTGTTTAGAATTATTAAGAAAGATAATCCTGTATCCAGTTGAATTTTTCTTGAAGTAAAAGTATCCCAACGCCATGCTGAGAGTAAAGAAAACTATTTCTTTTACCCATTTATAAGGGTGGAAAATATCTACCATTGAAGGCCCCAGAATCATTTGGTACATGATGGGGCAGACCCGGGTATGCTTCTTGTATGCTTCTTGTTGGTGGCCCATGGCTATCTGCCTGCATCAATAATGTGTATGACCTGTGAGTGATACTACAAATGCCAAATAGCCTTTGGCAGGAAAGAAAGTTTCCCACCCCCAGAAGTAGAATAGACTCCAGGGTTGGCTGATTCCTTCTTTTTGTTCCTTCAACCACAGTGTAAGCATTCTCCTCCAGCTCACTCCCCCATGGTTGTGAGTACCAATGGGAATAGGACTTTCATTATTAATAAGAGCTAGCAAGGACAAAAGCTAGGTAAAGCTTCTTCTATTTGGGAATACTTAGTGTGCAGGTCCTATTCTGTACCACATGACTGCCAGGGGCTACTTGGATTAACCTCGCATCCGAATCCTTCCACAACAGAAGACACTAGCTAGCAATGCTCTGTCCTAGCTTGCCTAAACTGGTTGGGCTAGGTAGTGGCATGAGCAGGACTAGGTTCCATTGTGAGGAGTGGAGGTGGAGAGGGATGCTGTATATCACCAACCTGTGTCTGATGTCCAGATAAATATTTGAAACGCAACATGCATTTGCTAACTGTAATAATCATCCTTAGACTGTCATCATTTTCACAGTATATCTCATGGAAAATGTCTCTTATGTTGAAGGCTAATTAATCACATTATTGGTATATTTCAGAAAATGTTAGCAAACTCAAGAAACTTGAATATTTGAATTTAGCTTTGAACAACATTGAGAAAATTGAAAATTTGGAAGGTAAGAATTTTATTTTTTGTTTTTTTAATGAAGTAAATACTTAAAGATTTAAAGTAAATATTTAGGTTTAGGTTTAAACAGTATTACATAAAGTAGAAGTACACTTATAATAAAATTGAAATTTTATCTAAATCTTAGATTTATTGATTCTTATAAAAATTCAAAAATGGGAATCCCATTCCTTCCTACCTTAGTCACTATCCCAGAGGTAAGTGGAATTAATACTCCTGTGTACATATAACCTGATTTTGTCTCACATTCTTTCTATCAATGGAATCATACTTTAAGTATTATCTTTAATGTAATCTCTTCCAAATTCTTCTAATATTGGTATCTTTGATATGAATGCCTTTTGACATCCAGGGAGAAGATCTGGGGCTATGTATGGACTCACTGTGCGCCAATGTATCTAACCATTTGTCTGTAGATGGACATTTGGGAGAGTTCTAGCATTTTGCTACAATCAGTGTGCCACAGCATGCGCCTTTCCTCAGTTCTACTGTGCATGTGCACAGATTTCTTTTAGAATTTTTGTAGATTTTTTAAATTAGAAATGGAATTCCTGGATTTAAGTATGCATAATTTGAAATGCACGGCCATGATTTTTCCAAAAATATTGTTTGAACTTAAACTTGTACATAGTGGTCTCTGCAAGTATCCAATTGCATGCAACTTCACCAATGCTTTCCAGAAACAAGATCTCTTAAAGACAGGAATGCAGTATTGTCTAATGATGGTCCCTTCTTGCAGCTCACGGCTATCGCTACAACCTTCCAGCTCCTGACATGAATTAGAGGATGTTTTATATCTTTTGGCCACTTTTCTATTGATGTATCTTTTTATGTTCTCCAGAGCTTAACCACTTGTCCCACATGTTATACTCTTGACATACTTTTTATTTATTTCAAATTATGAAGAAATTATATATTTCAGTATACTCAACCATCTCTTTTTCCTTTTCTTGTCTTCACATAGCTGTACAAAGGAGTTTTGGGTTAATGTGTTCACTCTGTGTACAGTTCATCTGTCCAGTCACCTCTTCCATCCTCCTCCCCCATAGTCCATGTATCTGGTCCCCACCCATCTCCTCAAGGTTCCTGATTCTATGTTCACATAAGTACATGGAGTATTATGCCTGCACCAGTCCACTGTTCCTCTTTCCAGTTACCCGTCCCTCTCTCTGTAATCTCCCCTCTCCTCGGTCACGACATGTTCCAGCTTCCTGATGTTCATTTTGTCAAACTTTTCTTAACTACTCAGAGATGTTAACCATGGAATTCTTCCTGTGAATATTCCATACTTTACTCAATCTGATCACATATATGTGCCTGTGGTCCTATATGTGTTTCCATAAACATTTGTATATTAGGTCTAACTTCCACATATGAGACAAAACATGCTTCCTTTGTCGCTCTCTAAGCCTGACTTACTTTTTTTCCCCAGATCCATCTATTTCCTTGCAAATAGAATAATATTATTCTTCCAAATGGATGTATAAAATTCTATTGTCTGTATCACATGTTTGATCCATTCATCTGTTGTAGGGCACCCAGGCTATTTCTATAACTTTGCTATTCTGAATAGTGCTTCAGTGAACACAGGTGTACAGGGGCTGCTGTTGTGTCCTGACTTTCAGTCCTTTGGATAAACGTCTAGGTGCGGTATTGCTGGGTCATATGGTGGTTCTGTTTTTAGTTTTGCAAGTTGTCTTCATACTCTCTATGTGGATCATTTCTGTCACCTCAGTGGAACCCTATGTCCATTAGCACTCACTTCTTGTTCACTTCTGCACTGGCCCCTAACAACTTTGAATCTGCTTTCTCCCCCCATAGGTGAATCCATCTTTCACATTTCACAGAAATAGAATCATAAAATATGTGGTCTTTTGTGTATAGCTTTTTTTTTTCACATAGACCGAGGTCTTCGAGGTCCTTTCATGTTGTAGCAGATTTCATAATTGTTTCTTTTTATGGTGGAATAATATCCTATAAAATGATTGCACTGCATTGGGTTTTCTCCTTTATTGCTTGATGAGCATTTGGTCACTTTCACTTCTGGGTTATTATGAATAAAGTTGCTGTAAACATTCATGGATCAGTTTCTGTGGGAGGAATATGTGATTTTTAGTTAATTTGGTAGGAATGGAATATCTTGGTTGTAGGGAACCTCTATGAATAATTAAGGAAGTTCAAATTATTTTACAAAGTAGCTGCACTATTTTACATTCACAGTAAGAGTATATGAAGGTTCTAATTTCTTTATTGTTGCTGTTGTTGGTCATGGGGCTTGAACTTTTGGCGTGGCACTGTCCCCTGAGCCCCTTTTGCTCAAGGCTAATCTACTACTTTGAGCCACAGTACCACTTCTGGTTTTCTGGTGGTTAATTAGAGAAAAGAGCCTCATGGGGACTTACCTGCCCCACCTGGCTTTGAACCACGTTCTTCCGTCTCAGCCTCCTAAGTAGCTAGGACTATAGGTTTGAGCCACCAGTGCTTGGCTTCTTCACCTTTTTTTCCAACACTTTTTTTTCTGGTGGTGTTTGTTTGTATTTGAGGCAGTATTTTGCTACATAGCCCAGACTAGCATGTAATCTCCCGTGGTGTTGGTCTCCTGAGTGACTGGATTACAAGTACGAACCACTGTGCCTGGCTAATTCTCATTTGCCCTAGGAGAGATATTCATAGATTTGAAGTGGTATCTCATTGTAGTTCTTATTAGCATTTACCTAATGACTAATGATATATCTAGCATTCTTATATACTCATTGGATATTTGCATATCTTCCTTGAAGAAATGTTTCACATATAATTAAAAGTTTTCAATTAAGGTGTCTTTTTACTGTTGAGTTGTAAAGTCCTTTATATATGGTCTGGTTACCAGACTCTCAGCAGATATATTATTTAGAGATATAGAGTCTCTGGTTCTTTTTCTTTTTTCTTTTTTTTTTTTAGTTTTCTGTACCCTCGGTCTTGTACGTAAGCTTATCTGATTCATGGAAGGGAAAAGGAATCACAAAAACAGCAGGATGAACTAATGCAACAATGATACTAACACTATGTTGGAAATGAACTTTACAACTTTGGGGGGAGGAGAGTGGGTAGTGGTAAATGGGAGAAAATGAAGGAGGGGGGTTTAAAAAGAAACGTATTCATTACCTTACTTATGTAAATGTAACTCCCCTGTTCATGACCTTTACAATATATTTTTTTAAAGATGTAGCTTCTTTCATTTGGTGGTGTTTTTTTTCCAGTTTTCTTGTTGGTGTACTTTGAAGCACAATCTGTCTTAATTTTGCTTCTATTTGTCCTTTCTTGATTTTTATGGTAAGAATAAGATGGGCCTTATAGAATGAGCTTAGAAATGTTTCTCCTAATTTTCTGTTTTGGGAGTGTTTGTGAATGAAAGGTATTAATTCTTCTTTAAACCTTTGATAGTATATACCATAAAGCCTTCTGGTCCTGGATTTTTCTGTGTAAAAGCATTTTTGATTCTGAGTTACCTACTAGTCAAGCTCAACTTGCCATAGGTTTTCTTCTCCTTGAGTCAGTTTGTTAGTTTATGCCTTTCTTGATTTTTTTTCCCTATTTCACACAGTTCATCTTATTTGTTGGCATATTCTACTTTTCATTTCTACAAATCAATTAATATCCTCTCTTTCCTTCCTGATGGTAATAAATTTGAGTCTTTACTTTTTGAAAAACAATCTTGGTTAGTATAGCTTAATGTTTGTAAAATTTTGTTGATCTCTTTAAAGGACCAACTTTTGATTTTGTTGATTTTCTCTCTATATTTTATATTCTTTGTTTATTTTCTCTTTAGCCTTTATTATCTTTCCTCTTTTTTTGTATTTAGCTTATTTTTTCTACTTTTTAAAGTAGAAGACTGGGTTAAGCGTTTGCAGCTCTGAATTTCTTGTGAGCACCACTTTCGCTTTGTCCATTACCTTTCTTCAAGTATTCTACTCTCTTTTGTCTGTTTGATGATACTTCATCTAGTTTCTCTACCTGTTTCTGAAAATAGGTTATGTGGGGTCACAGGCCTCTCTCAGGGTTTGTCCTGTGTCTCTTTGAGAAGTTAGAACTTGTAGCAAGGTGCTTAGATGTGTCTCAACTTGTGTATTTTGTTTGAGCAGTCACAAATGCCTCTATCATCCAGAGGTTCTGCCCCTCATGTCACCAGAAAGGGCGGATCTCCTTAGGGTCACAGCAGCTCCTCCCTGGAGCCAGAGTGCCTGCTGGATGTATCTCCCAGGACTGCAGCCCCGAATCCACTGCGATTCCACACAAGCCCTGCAGCTAAGGGAAGTCTGCATTTGTTTTTCAGTATCAATTGGGGTTACTCACCAGTGTCTTTCCATGTCAGCCTGGAAGATGCCCTCTGATATTTCTGTAGGGCGAATCAGCGGGTGGCAAACTTTTTCTTCATTTAAAAAATGTTCTGATTTCTCTTTCATTTTGGAAAGTTTTCCCAGATACAGAATTCTTGTTTGATATTTTTCATCTTCTGTCCTTTCCTCCTTCCTTCCTTCCTTCCTTTCTACCTGCCTCCATGCTTCCCTTCCTCCTTCCTTCCTTTTTGGCTTCTCTTTGTTCTTCCTTTGTTTTTCCCTTCTCTTCTGTTTTCCTTTTATCTATCTGTCTCTATCTATCTATCTATCTATCTATCTATCTATCTATCTATCTATCTATCTATCTATTTACCTACCTACCTATCTAGCATCTATCCATGTTATTTTCTGATAACTTTCTCTTCTCTGTTTCCTTTGGTCTTTCCTAGAATTTCTTTTCATTGGATTTTCATTGTACAATGCTGACCATCCACGTATTATTTTCTTGTACTTATTATTTCAACTGCTTTATCTTTTTTATTCAATAGTCTGGGATATATCATCTGATTTAAATCACAGAATAATTATTCTATGTTCATTTCTTCTCATTTTAAAATTCAGTTTACTCACAAGTCCTTATTTTGGCCATAATCTTCACCTTTCTCTCACTCCT